TCCCCAATAAGCTGTTCTGACATCCACTAGTTAAGTCCGTTAAATATGTCACGCATTACATTCCTTTGTCCCTCTTTCCCTCTATCCACCCTGTGAGTATCAGATTTTCCAAGCCCTCCTTTCTCATTACGTGTCCCAGAAATTTCAATTGCCTCTTCCTGATGTTAAGTACAAGATTCCTCTTTATTTGTATCCTCTCTACGTTTTTTTTTTTCTTTTTTCTTTTTTTTTTTTTTTGTCAGGCACTGATGCGTTGAAAAGCCTATCAGCAGCACTGAACCTTTTTCAGGGTTGGGCGTTGGGTGTAGAGAAATGCTATAGTCGCGCATGCGCACATGTATATATTCTTCCGTCTATGCACGTTTGGGAGCACAAGGTTAAAAGGGAGACAATCTGGGATCAAGGTAAATCTAAGACTGAAACTACTTTCTGTCTGAATTTCTGGGATGAGGAGCTATGATTATTTACATTCGGATTAATGTTTTCATTTTTTTATCATTATCGCTATATTTCGGCCGTTGCGTTCAAAACCTTCATCTAGTTTTAATGATGCCATCAATACTTTCATATGGATGTCATGCATAGCAACAAACTAGTTCTTCCTCAGATCAATGGTTAAAAATATTTTCGAACGAAACGAAGCCTGCATAACAAGGACAGTCCTTCTTCGAATCTCGTTGATTGGCGCTACAGAATCGCAAACAAAGAGCTGTACCAAATAACGGAAACTAGATCATTGTCATAACTGATATGTTGACATTCCACACTTCTTCGATGGGCCGTGTCTCTTCCGGATGTGGGCGATCATGGCTCACCGTCGCTCTTAGTAAAATTTGTGTTCGCTATCTATAACACTTGTTCTGTCAACTATCTACACCAGATAGGTTATGCTTTGTTTTCCCCATCCCCTCTTGCCTTTAATATGTCCAGTGAGAGTCATGTTTTCCAAGCCCTCTTTCTTCATGTTGTGCCCGAGAAATTTCAACTGTCTCTTTTTGATGTTAAGAATAAGTGTCCTTTTTGTTTCCATTTTGTCACGTTTCAGTCCTTGGCATTTTCAAGTATTCTTCTTTTGAACCACATTTTTTCATCAGTGCATTCCACACTATTTCAAACAAAAGGTTAGGAAGGAATGCCCTGTCAATACTAGAAAAACGATTAAAAATCGACACGATAAATCTATTTTCCTGAAGAAGATTTCATTTGTAAAATATTTTTAAAATTTCAACTGACAACACTAGATGATTTGTCAATGAATGCTGACTGTTTCCTTATAAAGAAACAACAGATATTACAGTTATCTTCAGAATGATCGTGGCTGTCCACAAGTTTCTTTTTTATTATCTGTGGATTTCTATGAGTTCTTGGGAAAGATAGCTGAGTGATTTTCCGTTGTCATTTCAGCGGGTTTTTTTTGGGTTTTTTTCAGAATTATCCTTATTCTAGACGGGTTAACATAAAAGGCTAGATACCCACGTCTACTTTGCTATTTGACATAGCTCGGGAAGAAGTTGATGCTTTCCCTAAGGGCATTTGGGCAAACTTTGGATTTGAACGCAACTGGCTTGACTGAAATGTGAACTCCGGTCGCCGATAAAAGTTATACTACACGCAGAACTTTTTCAGTACTCAGTAATTGCTCGCCGTTTTTCCACCAGCCCAAATACTGAACACTCCGAATAAATATCACCTCTAATATGCCACCAAATTCACGAACCAATGTAGTAATTCACTAGGCTAGTCTTGCGTTAAAATTTCTCAGTTCCTTCAGAACTAAAATATCACGAATTGTGTTTCTTTTGATGCGCAAATTACAATTTATTTTTAATCTCGCGTGAAAATATACGAGAAAAGCTATAACTAGATTACAGAAAGCTGTGAATAGAACTACTCTGAATAAAACATTAATATATATATATATATATATATATATATATATAATTAGATCCTCCTCCCCTATAACTACGTCGATTTTCATTCGCTGACACGTTCATTCATCCAGTAAACATCTACTTTTCCAAGAAGGTAAATTCTGCACTTGATACAACCAGGAATCGGCAAGCTGAAGAATCAACCAAGATTTCTAGCAGACATCTTTAGTGTGAAGAATAATTGGCATGGCAATAATCATTGGCTGTGATGAAAATTAGCCCCCGGGCTATCTTGAACAACGTGCGCTCTTGTCTAGGTACTTGGAAAATTAGCGTTGTCCCCCTTCCCAATCCACACTATCACCTCGTATAATTTTCAGTTTAGTTCGGCTTAGTTTGACATATGGCTACAAGTATAGAACACCTAGTGACGATCTAGCTAACAACTCACGGTCAACCATTCTCCGACCCCAAAGGGCTCAAAATATTTACTAAATTTAGCTTAACACAAAGCCACAAGTATAGGGCACCCAGTGAGAAAAAGATTAATCGGTTTGTTTTTTATGACTTATCAACCGTTATATATCGTACTTATGAACATTAATAGGTATGTCCCAATCTTCATAAATACGTTAGACACTAAGTGGGGGTAACATGCTCTCTAAGTAGTCCACTACTAGCAGTGGTTTACCTACTTCACGCCGCTGGCGAGTACTGTATTTTGTTGATGTTATAAAGATTACCATTTCATTTCTACCCTCCATTTTGGTTATTCCCCATTTAGTAACCCTTCTAAGGATTTCAACACGATGAAAAGGCATTGGAATGTGATTTTACTATGAAAAGACATTGGAAAGATATTTTACTATGTGTTTTATACAGTACCTATGAACACTAATGGGTATGTCCCAATCTTCATAAATACGTTGGACGCGCCGTCGCCTCTCTGTGTCTGTTTTACAAATACTTTCATGGCAATTGCTCCGAGGAGCTGCATTCGCTGGTTCCCAGACTTCATGAGTTCAAGCGCCCTACGAGGCTGGCATCCTGCTCTCACCCTTTCATTGTCGAAACTCCTAAATGTAGCCGTCTCTTCTACTCCAACAGCTTCACCTCGCACCTCTCGCCTGTGGAACTCCCTTCCCTATTCCAGTTTCCCTGAGAGCTATAATCTCCAGGTATTCAAATGTAATGTCAATCGACATCTCCAGTTGCCTTGATCTATCGACTACCCTTCTCCTCATCCTTTCTTCTATCACTCCTATCTGATCTTGCTCCAAATTTTCTGTAACCCCTTGCGTCCTAGTGGCTTCTCGCCTTGCTTGGGGTGAAACGCATAAAAAAATGTATCTGCGGACCAAAACTTGAGTAAACAAATGTTGTTTATACACTCGCTTACCCTCTTCGAGTATGTTTCTCTAATAATAATAATTCATACGACACATACATTGGTTACACAACCACTACATTAACCCATCGATTAACATGCCGTTTATCAGTTAAATCGCATTGCATATCACCAACCAACATGATAATTAATTATTATTATTTTATATTTTATTTATTTATTATTATTATTAGTATAATAATAATAATAATAATAATAATAATAATAATAATAATATCCCTACAACATAAAGAATTGTGTCTTTATTTAATGAAAATTGTCTCAAAAACTTCTTTTAGTTTTATAAAATCGAGCGCTCACGAGAGCGGAACGAAAACCTGTCAGATTTTCTAATATTTTTTCGCATTTTCATTCATTGTGGTTGCAATTACAAACTCAAAAGAATGTATATCTGTTTTGTAGATTAAACATTTAATAAAGCACGTTAGAAAAAAAACTGTTTGAACTTTTAGGTAAGCTTGATTTATTTGAGGAGGATATTAGAATAACAGATAAGCAAACCGACTACATGAGGATAGAAAATAAATTCAGTAAATACACAAAAACAGTAAGGGGCTCAGTGAGGTGATCTTTGGAGAATTAAAAGTCCCAACAGAATAAGTTGCGGCCATAATCTTAGTAATATTAGATATGAAGATGACACTGTTTTGATGGCAGATACAGAAGGAGAAACTATAATTGACTCCTGCAGAAGATAGTAAAGGAAAACGAGAAGAAATGAGTAATTATAAAATACAAGACAGAATGTATGTTTGTTAGCAAAAGAAACTGTACAATTTGTGACTGATAAATTGGAGAAAACAAAATTAAACAAGTGCAAAGAAGACGAAAATGCAGCACTGAAATCCGAAGACGACTTGAAATAGCGAAAGCTAAGCAAAGTATTAAAAAACAGGAAAATGTCATTAGAAATAAAGAAAAGAGCACTGAACTTTTTTGAAATAATGGTCCTCCTATATGGCAGTGAATGCTGAACAGTCTCATCACAGATGAAGAAGAGACTTGAGGCCACAGAAATGTGGTTCTACAGAAGGATGCTGAGAATACTATGGACTGAATACGTGAGCAATGATGAAGTTTTAGAGAAAATGGAAACAAAAAGGACACTTATACTTTGCACTCTAAAGAGACAGGGGAAATTTCTAGGTCACATAATCAGGAGAGGAAATATAGAAAATTTGACACTGACAGGACGTATTAAAGAAACAAAGGTCAGTGAAGGTCAGTGTAAACCCTACCTAACAAGCTTGTGTAGATGGTTGGCAGTACAGGGATAAGGAGGGATAACAAAGAGACAATGATATAGTCAAGAAACTTAACTAAGGGCGGCAAAGAATAAGAAAGTGTTTGGTTTGGTTGATTTCGTTTAGCGGCACATCAAATGTAAATATTTTGTACATAATTTTAGGTGAGGTCGAGTGGGGGAAGTGATAACAATAATGGTTTTCCTGATACAAGTCTTACTAATTAACTCATAGTGGGGACGGGAGAAGTGGATTCATGCCTTTCTCAAAGGTAATTTGATGTAAGTGGATACAAAGAACCAAAGGTAACTCGGCTAACCTATTAACAATTCCGCCACACGACATCAAGTCTTCCAGCGCCTGGCATTCTCTAGCGGTCACCCATATAGTTACTGATCAAGCTCGACGTTGCTTAACTTCAGTGATCGTACGGGAACCGGCTTTTCATGCGATGTAACCGTAAGCCTAGGAAAGTCTTCCAGCGCCTGGCATTCTCTAGCGGTCACCCATATAGTTACTGATCAAGCTCGACGTTGCTTAACTTCGGTGATCGTACGGGAACCGGCTTTTCATGCGATGTAACCGTAAGCCTAGGAAAGTCTTCCAGCGCCTGGCATTCTCTAGCGGTCACCCATATAGTTACTGATCAAGCTCGACGTTGCTTAACTTCGGTGATCGTACGGGAACCGGTTTTTCATGTGATGTAACCGTAAGCCTAGGAAACTGTGGAGAGCCATGATCATCCACGTCCTGAAGGGAAACGGTACATAAAAAAAAGAAGAATTTCTCTTCTTTCTTTTTTTTTTTTTTTTCAATCTTCTTTTTTATTTTATTTTGGAATATGTTTATTTTTATAGGATAGATTACATCGTAAAGAACAGGAATTTACTCTCAATTACTTGTAAGATCAACTTCCAGCTTTCTAAACAAATAAATAAGCATGAATAGAAATGTAGTAAGCTATTTCTTGACACGCCCCCCCCCACAAAACTTTACTCATTAAATATAACAATATGAAGCTAAGTGTAATTCAGCAGCTGTTACGAATTACTCGGGTGGTGTAGTAATGTTGGGATCATTGCAATTTTAAGCGATATGTGTATTTATAATTTGCCCAGTCGCACTGGGTTTTGCCACAGGCCTTAGAGTGTGCTCTCAGCGTTGGTGCAATTAAATGGTATTGTCTGGAAGGCGGTTTTACAAGTATCCATGCTGATAATCATTGTCATAAAGATCTCCCGTTACGAATGATTAGAAACCATTAAAATGAGAATGCCATTTCCCTAAAAGGGCCCTTAACACATCAGAAAGTGAGTAATCACCGTTCTCCATCTTTTTTTTTCCTGGTACCTCGAATTCATGAATTTAATCGTGCTGCTAGATTGGTATCTGGGTCGCATCCTTTTACTTTTTAAGATAGCTAAATGCCACCGCCACTTCTTCTCTCATGGTTTCTTTTCTCGCACTTCCCAACCGTGGAACTCCCTTCCGTTTTCTTACTTTCCTGATAACTACAATCTACAACAAAATGAATCGCATTCCTCTTTTGTCCTCCCTATTCTCCAGTCTTCTCTGTCACCTTCATTCCCTCTAAGCCCCTGCGTATTAGTCGTATTACCGCTTTTTCTTCTTTTGGGGGGGGGTGAACTGATTAAAAAAAATGCACTTTGCTCGATTTTTACCACTTTGGTAGATTTCTCGCTGTTTCATTTCGCTAATATTGCTTTAAGCGTACCCTGTGAGTGTTAAATTCACTTGCCGTCTTTCCTAATTATGTGTTTCCGAAACTTCAACGATAGGGACAGGAAATTGTGGAGAGCTATGATCGCCAACTTTCTAATGGTTTCCTTACTGTTCCCATTTTCCTCAAATCTTCCTTATTTCTCAGATGTGGCATTCTTAGCATTGGTCGTTTGATCTAATTGTATTTTGCTAAGTACAGAAAGGAACTTAAAAGAACTGCCACAGAAGGTAGTGAAGGGAATCCAGAATAAAGAAATAAACATCAATTACAAGAATACATACTGAATGGTTGTCAGCAAAAGGGACATCCCAAGATGCAAATTACAGATTGGGGATAGCGAAATCAAACAGGAGCAATAACTTAGATATCTTAGAAGCGTATTAACGGAGGATGAAAAAGTGCGACACTGAGATCTAAAGACGCATTGGGATAACCAAAGTTGCCTTCCAAAATGTAAGCAAAGTATTAAGAGACAGGAAAATTATCGTTAGAAACAAAGAAAATGGTACTGAACTGTTATGTAATATCAGTCCTCCTATATAGCATTGAATGCTAGACAATCTCCCCACAGCTGCAGAAGACACTTGAAACAACAGTAATATGATTCTAAAGAATACCATGGAACGAAAATATGCCAACACAAAAGACAGTTATGCTTAACATCAGGAAAAGTCAGTTGAAATTTTTGGGTTACATAATGAGGAAAGTGGGCTTTGATACGCATAGGGTATATCGAAGGAAAGACGGCCAGAGGAAAGCAACGCACATCCTACCTGACAAACTTAAGGTAATGGATGACGGAACAGGGTTTTGGAGAGATGGCAGAAAGACAAAGGTTATTAAGAGTTACAAAGGGAAAAAAAATTATTGAGGACCATGTCCGACAACGTCCTGAAATGGTATGTCGTAGAAACCCGCGGTTTTTTGTATGCTGTTTCTTGAATTGTTTATCATATGTGAACATGTGCACACCTCAAATATACCACAAGCCACAACCTCCTAAATTCCATATGCGGTAAGGCTTGGATTGTTTGCGTTAAAAAGTTTTTCTTATAACAATTTTGGAATAGTAAATAGATTTAAAAAAAAAATAGCGACAGCTTTTCTGTTAATTTTCATCGCAAAGTAAAAAAAAAAAGTATCTACTAAATTTATTTATAAAAAATTCAAGTTAGTTTTTCTCTCTTTATAGTTCTTTGTATTTGTAAGGAGGACACTACCTGTCGGGGTTTCTTTATTGATCCTGTGATGCGTTTCATAAATTCAAAGAAATGTCCTTAAGTAGATGCCAGTGATAATTCAATGTTTTTTTTTCTTTTTTCAAATAGATGGTTTTAACTATTTATAGAATTTTTTAATAGCATCAGTGGTTCTTCTGTGGCATGAAATGCCTTTGAATTAAGACATTAGAGTTTGTTTTTTTTCATTTAAATTAAACCCACACAAATACTCAAGCACACATACATGTCCAAGCACGCACAAACGTATGTATATGGAAGTTACCATATAGAAATCTATATAGTGGATAAGTGAATAAAAAACTGAAAAAAAATACTCATAAGTTCCTCCATCGAAAGAACTACAAAATAATGATGGTTTTATGGATGGGTTCATATGTATATAAGAATTTTATCGATGGAGACATATATATATATATATATATATATATATATATATATATATATATATATTCATTTTTTGGTGCATAGGGTTGGTGTAAGTTCTTCCATGGATTTAATAATAGTGAGAGAAAAAAATGCGTTCAGTAGAATGGCGACATCTTTTCTCTTAATTTTCCCCATTGGCGACAGCTTTTCTGTTAATTTTCATCTCAAAGTAAAAAAAAAATGTATCTACTAAATTTCACATCAAATTCTCCCAGGGCGAGGCGCTTCCATTGCACTCCGTTTGCGTTGACCTTAGCGATCGCCGCAAATGAGGTCTCTTTCTAAGTGTGGGGTCCCCATTCGCACTCACCGCGATACGCAAGCCAAAAACATTTTTTTTCTTCTTTTTTTAACTTGTAAAAAAATTCCTTTAAGTACCTCGAATATGATCTGTACTTACGAAATATCAAAAACTCCCTGATTGTTGCTAATGTTTCATTCCGAGAGATGGAGCTGCTGTGATGCAAGCTAAACAAACTTTGATTTAAAATTTATAATTTCAAAAGAGTGTCAAAAATTTAATAAAAATCAAACCAACTTTGATTCAAAATTTATAATTTCATGGGGTGAATTAATATTTGCGATAAGTAAATTTACATTACGAGTGCTGGATTAACAGAAAAGATCCAAAAGATCTACATTCTTTTCAATATATTATATTTTAGCATTCTGTCTCCATTTGATTGGATTATATAATTATTATTTTTGATTCAGCGAATACTATTGGTCGAAAAAGGTTTCAATGCATTTTCTATGTAATAGTTTCTCTCGACGGCAAATTTTGTACAAACTAAACACCAAAATGGATCACAGAAGCCTTGAATAATTCTCCGACTTCTGATTGGCTAATATATGTGAAAGATGTTAAAACTCCTACGCAGTTGTGTTCAAAGTCAATTTACCGCCAAAATCTCGTTATGTGTTCTCGAGCCTACCACGTGATTCACATTAATTATAAGTTCTTTGACACATCTTCGTTCTTCCTCTTTTCTCTTGCATTCTCTCACATACAATATGTAGTTCAGTAGAGATCCTGTTTCTCTGTTAGAGGAAAACGCTATGAAACGCCAAGACACACACACACTCGCACACACGTACATCGCACATGTACGCACATCTACGAACATCTCCGAAGATTCATTCCTTCAACCACAAAGACAGAAACACTTAACGTAACATTTTTTAGTCACACCCACACACGTTTTTTTTGCACTACTTTCAAACATTTTAATTCTCTTACAAGTAACGATATATCTTACTAAAGTTCTCCAAACTCACACACTCTTTAATACACATCACAGTTTATCAACAAGAACATGTTCCTCACTCAAAATTCCAAAGAGACAAGTAAATTTCAGCATTTCAAACACAACGGAATTATTGTCTGTACAATTGTCGTTATGCACATATATATATATATATATATATATATATATATATATATATATATATATATATATATATAAGTAGTTCATTTTGGGGATTTAGCCTTATAGACTCATTGCTATATATATATGAAGAAATATAGTCTTAAGATGTGCTATATTTATGAGATAAAGTGCCAATATCAGAGATAGAGCGTGTGTAAATATAAAAGTGAACACAGCCGTCAACACTTAGAGGCGACAGTCTGTTTCATGCTAGATGCAATCGTCAGGCCACGATTGCCCTGACGATTGCATCTAGCATGAAACAGACTGTCGCCTATGTTCACTTTTTATATTTTTATATATATATATATATGTGTGTGTGTGTGTGTGTGTGTGTGTGTGTGTGTGTGTGTGTGTGTGTGTGTGAAAAGTGTGAAAAGTGTATATAAATATAAATATATATGTATAATTATTTATATATTATATGCATGGTACTTTTTAGAAAGCGCTCAATATCTGAGATAGAGCTAACATATTTGGTTGGATAGATGTGAGTTTGTGACCCTGGGTTTCACGCTTTAGCGATCGTCAGCCCAGGTCACAAACTCACATCTATCCAACTAAATATATATATATATATATATATATATATATTCCATTTATTTATGCAACTTTTCTTGTTGAGTGTTTCTTCCTAATGTTTCATATTTTGTGTTATTTTGTGTAAATATAAATTAGTTAGGACACTGTCACTGCAGTATACGATTGGTTCGATGTATTGTTTTGGTGAATACGTAAATAAT